TACTCCATGCCCCGGGCCACCTGGTAGGCGCAGGAGACCAAGTCCTTGAAGGAGAGCTGCTCCTCGGGGACACGGGTGGGGTTGTAGCAGTACTCCATGCCGGGGGGCCGGCGGGCTTGTAGGTACTCTCGCAGGTTGCCCTTACTCGCATACTCCACAATCACATAGAGGGGTCCTGCGGGAAGAGTGGGATGAGCTGCCGGATCACGGAATGGGGTCTCCGGACCCTGTGGGTGCAGGGTCAGCCCCCTCCCGGTGCGTGGATGGCAGCAGGAAGGGTGGCAGAGGGGATGCCCCCTCCCCACTCGCGTGCCCTCACCATCCTGCGTGCAGGCTCCCAGCAGGTTGATGATGTTCTTGTGCTTGCCGATCATCTTCATCATCTCCATCTCGGAGATGAGGTCGGACAAGTCCTTCTCCGTGGCGTCGGCTAAAGCGGTGGAGAAGGCAGTGGTCAGGGTTGGGGGGCCAGGCTGGGTCCCCCCATGTTGCACGCACACAACTCGAGCCAGGGCTGTGGCATCGTGCCAAGACCCCTCCCTCCTTCTCGCCACCACTTACACTTGAGCATCTTCACCGCCACCTTGGTCACTCGGTTTGGCTTGTCCTTGTCAAGGCCGATGGCTTCTGCCAGCACCACCTGCCCGAAGCATCCTTCTCCCAGGGGTTTGCCCAGGATCAGCCTGGTGGGAGAAGAGACCCTGACGCGGGGGCCGGTGACCGTGGGGGGGAAGCAGGGTCGGTCACCGGCATCGGTGATGCCACCTTTCTCACCCAGCTCCCACCCAGGCTGCTCTGGCAAAAAAACCCCACGCAGTGGGGATGGGACCTCACCTATCCCGGGGTAGCTCCCAGCGTGGATCCTCAGGGAGTTCGTATTCAGAGACGCCGGCTAGCATGGGGGTGCCGCTGGAGGAGAGCCGCGAGGGCCGGACCAGCATCACCCCCGAGTTCATGGAGGAGCTGGAATCGGCCGACACCTGCAGCGGGGACAGTGGGTTA